TCTATCTATCTATCTATCTATCTATCTATCTATCTATCTATCTATCTATCTATCATTCAATGTATTCAATGTATGCAATATTTAAATAAGGGCAGCGTTTTTACAGGATATGGATTTTCTCTCAACAATAAGAGAAATTCAGAACCATCAACATTATTAACGTTTGGTTCTGTTGTACAAATACCTGAAATCACATGAACAAGAACACAAAGCAGAGTGTTTAATTATGTTTGAAAAAGATGATACAGGGACATATTTTCTTTCTGAAAGTAATACAACGTCATGAGATTGTTTTAGAGAGTGAATTTCGTCCTTGGTTCATAAGCATCTTTTCATACCTGGTTAAAACCAGGGTGCCAAAGGATTGTCTTCTCCTCAATGATGAGTTCTTTTCCATTTGGAACACTGGGATCTAACTTTCCAATTTTAACTCTCTGAACCGATCTGTTTGGAAAAGAGATCATGTTGAGGATGTCAAAGCCACCTGGACCGTCTCTTTTGTCTTTAAAGAAGACTCTTTCTCCAGCTGAGTTGTTAAAAGAAATCCCTTGAATAAATGTGTGGAGCTACTTGAAGAAGGATAAGAAGGAGGGAATCAAAAAGAAAACAATTCATCAGGGATCAGAGGATTAGTTTCCCTTCTGTTTACTCCTACTTCCTGGGAAACCAAAGAGCATTTCCTAGCTTGACATACCAAGGAGGAAAATGTCAACCAACAAAGAACTATCAATACTTGAGATATGCAACTCACTTTTATTTTATTAATTATTTATGACAAGTACTTTAAAGGAACAAGCTCAGTGATTCTCCTGGTAGTTCAGCATAAGTCTAAAAGCCAGCATTGCTTCATGAAAATAACACACCTAATCTAGCAAAGAATAATTGACATAAACCCTACATTTCCAGTCTAACAACACTGTCTTGACTAAACTGCCAAATCCTAATACGAAAAGTGAAATCCCCACATTTCAGAAAAGCATATTAGGCACAAAGCAAAGACTGCCTTTAGACACATCGCCATTGAATGCTTCTTGTGACCTGGCTGGATGAATTGACAAGACATGTCAATTCTAGGTGGAGATCAACTGGTTCTTTATGGAACCTAGGAGGATATATAAATACCACTAGCTAGACTGAAATTTGCGAAGGCATCATTTATTTTCATTCTCTTGTATTCTATAACA